TTTTTGCAGCTTTGAGTCGCAGCGTTTGCGTGACAGGTGTTTCTTTTGGTTGAGATCAACAGTGTGCTTTGCAACCCTGCAGTCCGGGGGATCCGAGAAGTCTACAGCAGCTTGAAGTGAAACTTTAATGTTCATTGAATGAATGTGGCTCAGTGAATGAGTGCCAGTTGGTTTTTTTTGGAGCAACGCGGGGCTCCTTCTCACTAAGCCTGATGCGCTCTTGTGTCCTGTGCGTCCAAGACGTTTGCGCGTGAAGATTTGAGAGGTTTCCAGGGAGTGTTGCAAAGCTGTCCAGGCCCTTATATTTCTGAAACTGTTGCTGAGAGATATGGCAGCAAGCATAGGCATGTTCAATTGGACATGTATAGCAATTTTACACGGAATTGGCGGTGTGCGGGCACAAATATGGATATCACGGCAAAGCACCTCTTCTCATGTTCCGCAGGTTCTTTGTGAACAGTCAGAATCTGCTTGCATTGTGCCATGGGGTGATTGACATGTCGGTTTTCCCTATGTCGCATTATGAAAAGCTTCACGCCAATTTGCGCCCCAACGAGTCAACGCGGTAAGTGTGACTGAGTCCCACCGCTCATTTGGCCACTCTCGGAAGATGTGGGGGCAGTTAATTGTGTGGTGCGAAACTGAACGTTGAGGAAGGCATGAGAAGTTAACTGGCATTGCTTGGGAGATGCTGAAAGGCCACGACATTCCAATCGACCCACTTGATCAATTGAAACTTTCATCGGGCCGACACGCTTGTCACAGCTGAACGCGGCAGGGCCGTCATCAAACTATTTTCTAGAAATGTTCCTTATTAATTGTTTTGGCTCGATTGATTTTTACATGTGCGTGATGCATTCATCGAGGCACGTACCAGAAGGCAATTTATGGAGACAATGTGTACCAGACCGTGAATGGCTTTTGGCGCGGCAACGAAGGAGCCGATATGAACGAGCAGGGCTTCTTGGATCTTTCCAAAGTGCCTTGAACATTGATAGCTGTTGTGTTTCAACGGGAATGCGCATTCTCGCCGTAACCTTATGTTTCTTATTACTGTATTCAACTGATGAAGCGGCTCAGGATATGCAGTTCAAGGTGTGCAACGTATCCCTGTCGTTTCTCGGACACAAACGATTCACGCCATTCGCAAAGCTTCTTGACAAACAGACTGAGCCAAAGACATAGTTCTTTAAGGTTCAAGATTTTGTAGATGTAGTTTATGGGAATTGCGTTTGTAATTGCTTTTGTTTTTTGACATCAAGTAGCTTCATTTGTGCGGCCAATGCGGCTAGGCAGCCCTATTACACATTGGTGATTCTGCTGGTCTGGACTTTCACTTGCCTGGCAGAGATTCGAGTCTCCTTGATGATGGCACGGAATTTGCTGTGGCACACGCCGGTTGTGGAGCACGTCACTGAAACTTTGCCTCAAAACATTGGTTAACAGGACTGTCGTGCTCTCAACCAGCTGACGGCAATCAGGTGGTAGGGTATGGTAGGGATACTGCCAAAGCCTGAAGTTTGGCCATGCCTGCTCCCTGGAAGTGGAAGTGGTGCTTCACAGGGTTCGTGCGCAAATTGACCATCTCTAGAGCCAAACGAGTTTGCAACAGTGCTGTGAGATGCACCTTCCATGTGATAGCTTTGTAGGTTCCCAACTGCCTTTATCTACATTGAACCAAGTTTTGTCCTCATGCACGGGACAGAACAAAACTGAGCACTTGAATTTAGCTATTTCCAAGAGGAATGAAACGGTAGTTTTCTATCTGCTTTATACGTGAGGGTACGGGCATAGGGGTACATGGTGGTACGGGCGTTGGGTACGGGGTACGGGTACGAGTACGTGTGAAGGGTACGCTTTGGGGTGCGAGTGGAAATGGGCTAGGTACAG